TTCATTGATTAGCATGTCTTGTGTTGTCTGTTGCCCTGCAGAAAGTTTTAAGGAAAGCTGAAAGTTTCCTCACTTTGCCAAGATGTCTGTTTAAGGATAGCAATTCCTAATTTGCAGATCTTACTTACATGTGCATTTAAGGTGTCTGTTTTATAAAGGTGGCTTTGATTTTGGAGGGCTCTTAACCGAATTTGTAGAGGTTACAGCTGAAGCAGAGTGTAAGCCCAGAGCTGCCTCACCAAGCAAATCCTTGCCCAGCCACACACCCAGACAGGAAAGAGGATTCTTGCTCTTTTTTCTGCAGTCTTCCTCTTGTGCCTCCCCTCCCCTGAGGCTCCTTGGTGAGTTCCCATCTCTGTCCTCCTCTCCTTCCCCAGGGACATGGAGAAGCCAGATGCCACAGAACAGGTTTGGAACCAGTCAGCAAATGTTATGCAGGTTGAATTACAGGAAGAGGAGCAGCAGTTCTAGTGCACATTCTTCTTTCTCACAGTGCAATGAATTACAGCTTCTTGCACACCACTGGAGATCACCTTGCAGGAAGAAATTTGGCATCTTTTACATGTTTGTGTTATTAAACAGTGAACTGGAGAAATTGCTGTAGGAAAGGAAAGCTAGGAAAGTCCCTTTCCCATGTATTCATTTTTATCTGCTACCCCTGCAGGTGGTTGGTTGTGTATGGAATGAAATGCAGCCCTTTAGACAGTTGTACTAATTGTTGCAGATTAGGTTAAATTTTAAACCCTCTGTAAAGGCAAAAATGATCCAAGTTTGAGCCTACTGAGGCAGTTGTAATGTGTTTGATAAGTCTGAAGTGTGTGATGGCCAAACAGTGGGGAGGGCTGCACCAAAGGGGACCTGCAGTCCTGGCAGGGAGCAGGCCAGAAGACAAGTCTGGGTGAGCTGCTTATCAGATTGTTACAGCCCATTAGTTAAAGGAGGGAAAGGTCTCCCAAGGAAGGTGGAAAGAAATCACAGTGTGTGTTAGTTTCATTTGTCTCTCTTGTATTTGTTGTTCATGAATATGCAAACCTTCTGTATTTTGCCTTTTTGATGTCTATTCTGTTTATTGGTAAATTATTTCATGTCAAAGTCTAGCATTTGATTTTCTTTTTGTAGCCCTGAAACTAAGGGTGTTGGTTTTTATCCTGGTACAGTTGTGTAAATCTTGATAGAACAGAGGGCCATAACTTTCCAGTCTGTTAAGTAACTTACTGCTGCAGTTGATTCATAGATGCACGAGAAAGGGGTAGAGTTTCATGGTTTAAATGCTTGATATAAAAAGTACCCCAACAAACTATTTTTCCAGTATCCTACAAATAAAAAATGCAGTCATTTGGATTACTTGCTGACGTTTATGGCGGTCATTTTGCACAGTGCTGTGGGTGGTTTGGTCTGATTCAGTAAAACAAGTTAATAAAATTAGTCTCAGCTCCCAGACCAAGCTTGTCTCCACAGACTCCACATGTGAGGTAAGCTAATGCTCTCTTAGGAGCTGTACTCTTCATCCCAACCCACTCAGTCTTGGACCTAAAAATTCCCTCTGGCATCAGCTCTGGTGATTGTTAGTCACAGCCAGCACACCCTGGGATGGTAAGAAAGGAAACCATGCACTCTGCTTTCTAAGATATTCTGCTTGCAGCAAGTCATTTACCTTTGTTTTCCTCTGGAATTAGAACTTTTAAAGATGAGTAAAGCATTGCAGGATAATCTACTTCTCTTTGCAGTTTGGCTGCTGAAAACGAACCAAAAATTTCTTAATCAACATCTGTCTTGTCATCAGCACTAGAGGAAAGCAAATATGTTTTCACAGTCAAGGAGCAAGGAACAGATGAGCTGTTAGATCTGTGTTTGTGCAGTACTTCAATATTAGCAGGTTTATTGATGCATCAGAGTCTTTCCAGTGGGATGTAATGAGCAGAGCAATGACAGTGAGGAATGTGTTGTGTCCTGACAGTGGGGCTGGGCAGAGCAAAGCTGAACTGAATGGAACAGCACCGGATGTTGAAACTGAAAATGCTGAAAACCATTTAACCTTTTAAGAATGTATTATATACCTCCTACAGAGTTCCCCAAATTGAACGGGATATTTTTGCTTCTGAGTACCTGCAGCTTTCTAATAAGTTGTTTTATTACAGTAATTCTTAGCTGGCCAGTGATATGTACCTAGGCTTGAGGGGTGCTCTCTTTTGCTGCAGACTATAAAATTTAGAATTGTGCCATTTTCTAACTGTATGTATTACTGTAATAATCAAATTGCCATGTGAGGTATGCAGTTACAGTCTGCATATGAAACAATGTGGGACACAACCCAAACAATGAGATTTTTGGAGCTCGTGTATGAACATTTATGCATTTAGGAGCATTAATGGATATTTTCTGATTGCAAAGTACATTGCCTCAGCTCATAAAAGTGATGGCAAGACATCACCTGCAAGTGTACAAGAAACAGTGGAGTTCTCAAAGCAGTTTTAAGTGGAGAGCAGCTCACTTTCCTATGGATGAAGCATAACATCCTGCAGTAACTAATTGGTAGAAAGTGGTGGTAATATTCACAGTGATTCCCTGGTTTGTTGGTATTTAACCTTTAGAGGCATGAGGTTTAAAAATTCCAGTTTAAGGTCTCTTGGGTCCAACAGCCGACCCTAAACCAGAATACCTTTTAATTTCCTTTTCCTATTGAAGCACTGCAGGCAAAGGATGCCACAAAGCTCACAGCCTTATGCTGAACATACTTTTGATAGAGATTCATTGACTCCTTCCCTGCATTTTCAGTCAAATCTGATCATCCTCTCCTATCTGATGATTCACATATTTATAGAAATGTGTTTATCCAAGAGTTGCTACCTCTACCCAATGGCTTATAGATGGACTCCTGCTGACCTGCTGCCCTTACCTGTGGAGCCTATGCTCTGTTTTCAAAACACCCTCATCTGTACAAGGGCTTTGGAGTTAATGTGCTGTGCAGCAAGCAGAACAGCCTTTCATTCATCCAGCTTCTCTCAGTGTGCAAGTGTGTTTTCGGTGAGTGCTGTCCCTACATCACCTGGGAAGGGGTAACCCTGGCAGCTGGAAGATTCCCATGTTGAAACCCAGCTGGTAATATGAACAGAGAAAGGCAGAACCATGGTGCTTTGCTCTTCACTGTAATCAGGCCATGTGCCCTGCCAGCAGCATACTTGTTTTTATTTAGCAAGCTTGTCTGGATAATATTATAGGACTCAACAGAATGCAGCTACAAAATCCTTGTAATTTTATCAAGCACATTAGACTAACAATGGCAAGAGCCTTATATCCAGCCAAAGACACACATGACTAAAACCTCCCTCCTTTCCCTAAAATGATCCCACATTTGAAGTCTTTCTCAGTATAGTCAGAACTTTTATCTCCAGATTACTCAACAACTATGCAACTCAATAGCTAGAGAGTGGTTCTGAATTATGAATGAATGCTTTGTTTAAAATCCAGTAGCTTTTCCTTTTTTTTTTCTTATGTAGAAACTTCTCTGATTTCTCTTCTCAGACTTTGCCAGTGTGGAGTGATTGTATCTTCACAGAAATCTGCCTTGTAATCTTGACAGTGACTGTGAAGATGAACTTTATAATCCTCATTTGGAAATGTAGTGATGAAGTATAGGTACAGCAATAAACTGGAACAGGAAGCAAGGAGCAGAAGGGATTAGGGTGGAGATTGGAAAACCTCTAGGGAAGGATAAGGTTAGGCTAATGGTGAGGGATGTGGTAAGAGACCTGCCAGATCAGGGCTTTGCAAGGATTGGGAGCAAGTGAGGAAAGTGAGGCTCCTGTGCTTCTCCCTGGTCCCCCCAGGATCAGGGGAAGCCAGCAGACACTGTATGGACAGCTGGCAGTGTACCTGTCACACACATGGATACAGCTGCAGCTACCCTTCCTGCAGACAACTGGGGCCTGATAATGGTACTGGTGAGAGCCCAGTCAGGATGCCTGATAAGAGCAGGGCACTCAGATGTCTTCAGCCATTAAACACATCTCTCTCCCCCCACCCCCCAGTGGGTTTGTAGGGTTTTTTTCCCATTTAGCAGGTGTCCTATTGGAGAAGGATGTTGTGCTCAAAGTCATGTCTTGCATTCCTAAAGCCATTTTCATGCTCTGGGTTAATGGGATTCTGTACTGCTAATATACATTATGGTCAGTTATTTTAACCTGCTAATAGTACTATATATGTAAATGTGAATTGATACTTTTCTCTCAAAGCCCCACTGGCATTTAAAAGCTGACTCTTGTGTATTTCAGTAATACTGTTTATGCTAGGCAGGAAACAATCATAGGTCAAACCTTGTAAAGTTATGACTCACTTTAAAGTGGAAATTTTTGGACAGTATAGCTACTGTCCTTTACTTAATATAGTATCACTCACTGAGGTCTGTCCTTCATTATTACAGTTGTCTGAGTTTCATAATATCCCAATTTCTTCAATAAAACCAGTCAAGCTTCCTTTACACAGTAGGTTTTTTCTGCCTTTTGTTGCCTCTTCTAGGAACCTGCTGTTTTGTGATCTGAAATAGTGCAATATCAGAGTTGTTACTGATTATTACTATCTCATTCTTCATATTTCTAGCCACACTGATCCTGATTTTCCTACTGCTGTTGTGGATGTCTTTATTCCCTTCACTGAGGTATCTATTTTGCTGGAGGAGGGGCTGGTGCCCTCTTGTCACCACTGCAAAGTGGTGAGGCCCCTCCTGTTCCCCAGGGCAGGGGCAGGAAAGGAGGCAAAGCTGCTGTTTGCACAAGGTAAGGAGGATGGGTAGGAGAGGATGTGAAGGGTTTACGTAGGGAAGATGTGCCACAGGGAGGGGAGAGCTGCCTGGGAAAGAAACAGGAGAGAGGAGAGATCTTTCCCATGCTGAGCCTCCCCCAGACCTCACTGACACCGTGTCCAGGTGTGGCCAGGACTCGGATTTCTGGTGCCAGGCAGAGGAATGCTCTTCCCTGGCCTTGGCCCTGGTGTTAACCATGTTGCTTTGTTTACTCTAGATACACTTTATACTGCTGTTCAGTCGGCAGGGGAAGTTAAGGCTTCAGAAATGGTACACGACGCTACCTGATAAAGAGAAGAAAAAGATCATTCGAGAAATTATTCAGATTATTTTGTCTCGCAATCAAAAAACAAGTAGTTTTGTTGACTGGAAAGACCTCAAGCTTGTTTACAAAAGGTGTGAGTAATTTTGTAAGAACGTATAATCACTGTTCATATGAGTAACGCATGCTAGAAGAGGAAAAACAAAGGCTCACCTAAGGAAAAGCAGCAAACAACGCTCGTAGAGCTGGGCTGAGTTAGGAGCCTGCCATTGGCAATCTGGGTATAGCAAGGCAGGGTCCCCAGACAAACCAGCAGGGTAATTGTGGGGTGCAAAATACTTGTACAGTCTGTCAAATGAGAAAAACACGAGTAATGTAATGGGTATTGGTGTTTAGAAGGCATTAGACCTCACTGCCCCTTCAAATTCCACAGGGTAGCCTGGCTGAGATGTGTGTGCTGGATTTTATTATCTGTGGAGATTGGAGAAATTGTTCCAAAGCACTTCCATAATTCTGTCAAATTTGGTTTTGAAATATTTGTTGCTCTGGAAAGTGTTAATTCTCATTTCCTTTTCCAAAGAAATCACTGATCCCCAGTTACACAATGCCCAATGTAAACTGCCTGTTTGTTCTCCTACAGTTGCAGCAAGCAAATGTAGCCTTAATGTGTAGTGCACTGAGTAAATTAATCATCTCCCAATAAACTGAGTTCCCTGCTGTGATGGGAAGCATATAAACATCTGACCAGAAGCTGTGACAAGTTGGCCTCCAGCCACAGTATCAGCAAGCTGAATAGATCTTGGGTTGGTTTAAACATAGTTTTGGTGCAAGTTAGTTACAAAGCTTCTTTGGTCTAAGCAGCTTCATGCATTCTGGCCCTCTGTAAAACACTGTAATTTGACAGCCAGCAGATGACAAATGCTGAGATGTAACTTCTTTCACCTTTGCCTTATTTTTATTTTTAATTAGAAGGGGTGGCTTCTCCTACAGTCTGATTAACCCCACTGACTGCAGTGCTATTGCAGCAGGAGGAGGAGACCTGAAGGAGCTACTTATTACTGATTTATTGCCTTGTTTCAGTGTTACAGGTGTCCCACTTTACCAAGAGTGAAGCTGTTTCTTCTAACTAAAATAATTGGTTGAAATAATCTGATCTTTGAAAGTGTCCTCTGGGACACTCTAAGAGTGACAGAAAATGTTTACTTTAGAGACTAGATAAGAATTAACTATCAGGTGAATGACCTGTAAGAGAGGAGCAGAGCACCGAGGTCCCAGCTGCTCACTGCCATGTGTTTGCTGTGTTTCCCCAGGTATGCTAGTTTGTATTTCTGCTGTGCAATAGAAGACCAGGACAACGAGCTGCTGACACTAGAGGTCGTTCATCGATACGTGGAGCTCCTGGACAGATACTTTGGAAATGTAGGTTTCACTTTCTCCCATGAACTCATTCCTGTCTGTCTGATAAACAAAATTATGTGGAGCTGATTTGCTTTGTGTTCCATCTGCTGCACTTGCCCTACAGGAACTCTCAATCCAGAATGAAAATAATTATTAGAGTACTTTTTAAAACAGTGCTGAAATGATCATAAGATTGTTTTCTCAGCCTTTTCCCACTCACCCAGAATTAATCTTGATGCTTTGTATGTCTGTTTTGGTATAGAATTTGAAGGGAAAACTTCAGGAAAAAATATTAAAAAGACTCAAAACAGGTTTGGTTTGGTTTTGATTTGATTTGTTTGTTTTAGTTTTGATTGATTTGTTTGGTTTAATTCTCTTTCCTGACATCTTCAGATATACCAGTTTTGTTTGTCTCATAATACTGTGTAACAATTAAGGACATGGACATAGAGGCAAAAGATAAAATAATCTTTTTTAAAGACTTAGAGAAGGTCCTAATAAGTCTTTCGGTAAGTCTTTAGAGAATACAAGAGACCCATCTTTTCTCTGAATATTTTTGAAATGATCCTGCCTACCTTAATTCATAACTTAGTTAAATCAATGTGCCATGACTCGTGTCTGTACTGCCTCAAAACTAAAAAGCAGTTGGTGGCTCCTGCTGGGCAGGGAATTTTCTTGCTCTGTGAACCCAGGTAACCCATACTACAAGGGCTGTGTAGGACCTGTGACAGGGTTAGTGGGCCAGGAAGTCAGCTTGGATCTCTGACAGCCAGCATGAAGTTAATAATAAGTGGAATATCTCTGCTGTAAGTGAATATGTGGAGAGAACATGTGCAGAAGCTTCGATATTACATAACATGCAGTTTGTTTCTTCACCCTGCTGCCTGCACAGGGCTGCTTATGCTGAGGATATTTGATCATCACAAGAGCTTTTGGCCTAGTAGCGCTTATGATACTGTAAAAATGGTTTAAATCTAGTTGTGGCCTCTTGTTCTGGCAGGTGTGTGAGCTGGATATTATCTTCAATTTTGAAAAAGCTTATTTTATTCTTGATGAGTTTATAATTGGTGGTGAAGTACAAGAGACTTCAAAGAAGACTGCAGTGAAAGCCATAGAAGATTCTGACATGTTGCAGGAGGTAAGGCAGAGGAGGACAAAAGGCAAACATCTCATCATCTTAATGTTCCTTGTTTGACAGGAGATGAAAACACAGCTAAGCACTTCTGGTGCTTAATTATCCAAGAGTGTCTTGCATTCGGTTTCAACAGGTACAACAGTGCAGTTACATAAGCTTTCAATTCAACCCTTTTGGTATCATCTGCAGGGTCTTCATAAAAAGCTGTTGCTCTCTTGCAGCTTAACTGCTAGAGTTTATTAAGAAATAGTTTAAGATGTATCCAAGATACTTCTTTAATACAAGAACATAATCTAAGGTTGTATTTTATGTATGCATATGTATATATAAATACAGAAAATCTCTTCTGTTTCACTAATAGCATTGGAAACATGACCTACTATTAACATTTAAAATTGGAAAGAGTATTTGCTGGCAAACTCTGCTTTCATTCAGAAGCACCTGTGTAGTTTTTCTGTAGGGCACAGATATGTAACCCTTATTCAGAGACCTGCAGGAATTCTATTGTAACTTGGAATGTAATGAGTAACATTGAGGCAGGAATGGCAAAACCAGTTGAATGTGATGGGTTTCATCCATTTTTTTCCTTGGAAGTGAAGGATCCATCACAATCCTGAAGGGAGCAGCGCAGTGGTAAAACTGGCTTGGGCTGTGCTGTGGGAGTTGAGCAGGTTTCACCTGCTCTGCCCTGTGCACATGGAACTCGGCCACTGTGTGCAAAGGCCACTGGCATGATGAGTTTAGCCACAGCTGTGCTATGGCATGATTTAAATGGCACATTTTAAACCACTCTGTTACATGTTAAAGAAGAATTATTTCTGCACTTTAATCAATTTTATATAATTTCCTGCAAAACTATAACAGTCATCAAAGAGAAAAAAAGTATTTCTATGAATATTACAGTACCATTCCATAATGCATCAGTTGTGTTTTTTTTTTTGTTTTGTTTTGTTTTGTTTTTTCTAGACAGTGGAAGAATACATGAACAAGCCTGCATTTTAATGTTAAACTACCTGGAGAGAAAGCTGCTGCATGCACCTCTAAAGTGCACTTCCTGAAATTCTTCCCAATGTGCCAGATCCTCAGAGAAATACCAAAAACCAATAACTGTAGGGGTTTGTTTGTATAATGGTGAAGATGAAGGTCAGCTGATGTAGCAAAGGGTTTAACAATTCTGTGCTTTGCATTACTCTGTACATGAGTTTCTCAGAGTTGTTATTGCCCCAGTCTAGTTTCTCTTCTCGTTGCTGGACTCATCTCTTGTTTTGTACCACGTCTTTTAGCGACGGGTTTTGTCATCACAAGATGCTCCTCTGACAATACTTTGAAGAGGTATTTTTACTAGTTCTGTTCTCTGCTGACTGTATGACTCTACTTTTGTACAAATGTCCATTATTTTGAATGTAATGGTTATTCTGCTGTAATAATAATTTTTTTCTAAAAGCCAAATTGTTGTGGGCCCTGATTTCACAAACTTGTTGTGACAAGGTTAACTGTTGAAGTATATGCATCTCTTTGGGGCAGCTCCTTTCTTTCACTGTCTTCCTTCTCTTTTCTTCTCTAGTCTGCTAATAAGACTGCTCCAACTGCTCCTAGAGTGCACTCCATGCCTCCTTTTAATTTGGAAGACTGTTTGAAGGTAGGCTTCTCCTAAGTTTAATGAATCCACTTTTTGCTGCTGCATGCAGATGGCCTGTTTCTGTCTTTCCTCTCATTTTCCTATCCCCTTCCTAGATCCTCTCCAAAGGCTCCAGACTTTGAAATTGTGCAGCATGAGTGCAGGAGAAGATCTGAAGAGAAAAAATCAACCTTTGGAAGATAATATTGTGTATCTTTTGATATCCCAAACCTATATTTCCCAGTAGAGTTTTCCAGTCTCAAATTCACTCACCTGTTGAGATGATCAGCTTTCTAGTAGTTGAAGACACCCTGGTTTTTGAAGGTTGAGCAATTTAATCAGCTTTTTATAACTTTGCAAGCTGTGAAAAGGATAACATAGTAGAGAGGAGTCAGCTGGGCTGAGTGTTACAAACCATTGCAGCAGAGTGTGTGTGGAGCCAGGTGTGCTAACTCGCCTGTCAGTGCAGTTCAGACTCTATAAACTGAACTGGCTCCCTTAGAGTGATTATCCTCCTTACACAGAATCCAAAGCTCAGAGAAATTCTGTGTGTCTGAGCCCATAGCTCTCAGCTAGATGTTTTGTTTCTGTCCAATCATGAAATTACACTACACAAAAATTAGGGAAGTTATCAGATGGATATGAATGTAGGAATGATGCGAGAATTGTTGCCTTTCCCTTCAACATTCCCCTTGATTTCTGGGATGTACAATCAATATTTACTTTCAGAGTTTTCTAATCTTTAAATGTTTTTAAAGATTAATCTTTAAAGTTTTTCTAATCTTCAAATGTCCTGAATGCTTATTCTGATTTTGATATTGCTCCCTCCTTCCTCATCACTTTGCATATTCTTACAGAAGGGACACTGGGGATTTTTGGAAAGTGGGGGCACTTTCACACAACACAACTTTGCTGATTGTCTGCCCACTATTCTGCCTGTGCTTTCCAGTCTGTTAGTAGAACTGTGAGAAACTGGTTCATAGCATCATGTTGCTCTTTTTTATAATTATTTTATCCATCTGTTTTCTCTGTATTGATGTCAAAAGCATACTTTCAGCCTGGAAAAGACAGTGAAAATTTCTGAAGGGCCTTTAATAGCTCTGAAGACAGCCAATTTAATAGTAAATTAATGAAATGATGTTATTAGTATATTATTTTCTCATGGTTTGAAATTAAGTTTTTTAAAGTACAGTGTTTAATTGATTAAGAAATCACTCCAGAATGTGCAAAGAGGCTCCTTCTGCTCTTTGCCTTTATAAGCGACTTCTACTAACTGAAATCATCAGTAGTTTGATTTTACTCCCTTTTGGAGCCATGCTGTGATTCTCTCTCAACAGCTGTCATGTTGGTTGAATTCTGAATTAGATCAAAATAGGAGTACCAAAAAGATTTCTTGGTACAAAAGCCTTCTTTTCAGTCATTTTAAGAAGAGCTAGAAGGCTTCTTGCTGCATCATTTCAAGTTGAAGAGAATTCCTGATGGAAGAAAATAATGGACTGGGTAGAGGTACTTATACCAGCCATATCAGTGTAGCATCTGAATTAAATAGCATTGCCAAACTGGTGTATCCAGTGTCAGCTTGAGAAGTGTGAAGGAGTTAGTCTGGTAAGTGTGAAGGATTTAGTCTGGTAAGTGTGAAGGAGTTAGTCTGGTTTCCTCATCCTAGTGCAAAAATTCCTGGGAATATGGTATGCCTGTTGTGCCACCTGCCTCTGTATTACAAAGATGAATGGAAAACATGTTAAGTACTCTAAAAGAACTGCTGAATTATGTTCATGCTTCAAGAAACATCTACAGGCTCCTCCTGCTTTTGTGTGTAGGAGAACTCCACAAAGCAGGAGGTAAGCCTTAGCTGATGTGACTTTGCCTCCATACTTAAAAACAGGTGGGTTTGAAACATAAAACTTGTATTTAAACTTCTTACAATCTTCAGTGAGAAAGGGATCACTCAGGTAAGTAACATTGTAATGGAATTCAGTTCACCTCAGGCTTTTCTCCAAAGAGAAGAAGCCCAAATGAAGCCCGGTTGTTGTTGAGTCACCTTTAGGTTGCTGTCAGACTGCACCTGTTCCCATCTTTGTGAACTTCATTACCACTAACTGAACCCTACAGATTGGTGCACTTCAGTGCCTAGCTCATCAGAAGATTTGTGGCCCCTGATGTCTTAGTTCCATGATTTTTCTTGGAGCAGGAGGTGCATGTATCTTAGTGTACATATTCACTGATCTCTGAAGCATTGCCATTTATATTTACTGTTGATGTCTCTCTTTGCAGCTTGCCTGACTGTGCTCGGCAATGCTCAATGTCAAGTTTTCTGAGAAATTTTACATAATTATTATCCAAAAAACTATTAGCAAGCTCCTAAATATTCCCCATCTGATAATCTTTTGCCATTACCTAAACTTTCACCTTGCTGACAAGCTTCCAGCACATGTCCTAGTTTGCAAAATTGCATTTACTAAAATAACCATCAATCATAGTCATGGTGCTAGCCTAGATTCCCTTCCTTGCTCTCACCAGCTGCATGTAACAAAAAGCTGCTTGATTTTCATGTGAGCATCCCTGCCTGGAGGACTCTTAGTGTGATCTTGCTGCTCAGTTGTTGGGACAGAGCTGCTTCTCTCCTGCAACTATTTGCAGCACATAAGTTGAGACACCTCTGAACATAACATGGCAGAAGAGACAAACATTAGACTGAGATAAAAATAAATGTAATAGTGTCCAAAGTAAAAGAAACGTGACAAATCATGATGAGTGAGAGGCAAGAGCATCAGGATCACACAGGATTCATGAATTTTTACAATTTTTGTTTCTTTTTTCATTGTGAATTTCTGAGTGTTCATTAAAAGGTGTCAGTTCTTCAAAATAATTTAAGAAAACTGACATTTAGGTTGCCTCCTATCAGTTGTTTAACCAAGAGCCACTGAATGTCTTCAATGCCTTCCCCAGCTTCCCCTGCAACCCACCTGTGCTTTCAGAAACCCCAGAGGGAAACTCAAGGTAAAGTTCAGTTGTGATTCTGCATCTGAATTTTCCTTGGACAGAATAATGTACTTACAAAAGAGTGAATTACTATTTTTTCCCTTTATTTCACAGCTCTTTAAATAGAAAACGTATTTTTTTATCCTCTGCTTAGGAGGAGTAAGTGCTGCATTGGTAATGGAGCATGCAGAACCAATACATGAGGTGTTGGGTGGGGCTGGCGTATAAGGGAAGATCAGAGTGTAAATGTGAGTGGGGCTTTCAAAGATAGAGATGTTCAGTCCACAGTCCCCTCAAAATAACAAGGCAGGTCCCAGAGAGAGAGGGAGAGAGAGAGCTCCCATCCCTGCCTGTCCCTGACGCTCTGTTCCCCTGCAAGTGCGTGTGAAGGAATTTATTTCTGTCTGCACAGCTCCTGTGAGGGGGAGTTGCTCTCACCCTGCCTGAGATGACTAAACCCAAAGGTCTCAGTTCTACAGCTGATCTGTGTGGTGGGGTTTTCATTACCTTTATCCAGTGTCTTTATGAGAGTGGAGTCTGCATCATCCTGCTGCATCACTGGATTTGTGGTGTAGAGGGCTGGCAGAGCTCTGAGCTCAGACCTGGTGGCAGTGTCCCTCTAGGGGAGCTGACAGCATTCCCGCTCAGTTCAGTAGTGTGCGTGTTCCGAGGCAGGATCACAGGACAAAGGAAATAGAGCTGTTGATTTAAATGTCTCTTAGCATATTTCAGGGATCTTTTTTCATGGGGGTAGCTGGGCTGGGTTACAGTGTATGAGTGAAAGCTTTGTGTTTGTAGCAGAAATAACAGGCTGTGCTGCAGGAGAGTTAATGTTTGCTGTCATGGAAACCTGTTGCCTTGGAACATGATTAATGACACAGGCTAAGGGAAAAGCTATTCTTGAAATTAGTGTTCAGTAAACCCTAAGCAAGACCAGCAGTATACAATACTATGAATTTTAGTTATTTCAGATTCTGTTGTCTAGTTCACTTAACCTTGTCTTTTAATTTACTTATTCTGCAGCTCTTATAACCACATGTTTTTGTGCAAAAAAAGTAATTCAAAGCTAATCCTCTGGCTGACTAGGAAGAAATAGCATGTTACTTGCACTGCCAGTACACTACAAAATTTGTTGAACTTTTGTGGAAAGCACACACTGAATACAAACTTGTGGCTGGTCTGGAATGCCAGGGGACAGTAGCAGTCCCCTGACATTCCATTTAGCTGAGGATTTTTGCCTTTTGACTGCAGTGGTAGGTTTCAGAGAGTTCAGGAATATGAGTTAGGGAACATTTCTGTGGACTTAGCCATTTGGAGAAATCTGGTCACTCCTGTGTACTGGTGTGGTAAGATTGCTATTCTGTAATGCTGAAAGGAAACAGTGAGGGAAACATACAAAAGGTGTTTTGAAGTTGGTGTCACCCATCTGATATTTCCTTTCAGAATTCCCACTGAGACTTTATTCTGGAGTTCCTGCTCCAAACTCAATTTGTATCATTGCACACCAGATTCTGCCATGGGCAATAGAACGTTTTTCCCCTGCAGAAGTGAATTTCTGTGTCTGCTGTAAAAAACAGTGCTGAATGTAGAATCTCTAGTTTACACAGGGTGACAAATTCATTACAGCTTGCTGTGAATTTCAGCTGCCCTGTGGACCAGGATCTTGCATGAATAAATTACCAGCAGCTCTAGGTCTCCCTGCTTTGTGGAGATCACACTTTGGGACCCTCTAAGCTCACAGTGAGGAGTCAGCCTCAGCTGGGCTGAGCCAACAATGACAAGTCTCAGGGCAACATCTTCACAGAAGTTTCATGTGAAAGAATCTTTTTATTTCTCCAGAGCGCTTTGGGTGGGGTTCTAGGTGAGTTTTATGCTGGGTAACATCTCTGAAGGCACAATCTGACAATGCAGCAAGAAGGAAATATTCTGGGAAAATGAACAAGGAGCTGGCTGGGTTTGTAAACTGACAGCTACGCCGGGGTGAAGGAGGTTTTTTTCTGGTGTCTGTTGTCAAGGACAAGGTGGTCCTTGTTTGTTCTCAGAGGGAAAACTGGCTTGGATAATGAGTTCTTGCTTGGCAAAGGCTGACACAGGGTTATGCTGGCAATAACAAGAATGTTCTGCTGGCAAAAAGGTACCTCAGAGAGCAATGAAATATCATAAGTTATTTTAAAATACAGTAGTAAAACATTCATTCATTCATTCTGCTTGGGTTAATAAGAGGAAACATCAACATTTAGCATGACAGCTCTGTCTGAATGATGATGAAAATTGTCAAAAAGTTTATGTCCTAATGTATATTCCAATATTTATGTTTAAGTCTGGCACAGGGGTAGAAAGCCTAAGACCTCAAGAAATCTTGTTCATCCTTCAGTCCCAGGCAGGATCAGCTGCTCTTAAATTCTGAGTGATGTTTTTGTAACATCCTCAAATCAGCCTGTGGTGGACATTTCAGAACATTCCTGAAGCATCTGCCCTGAAACTGAACTCCCCTTCTGAGATGAAATGCTTTTCCTGATGCCAGCTCCTTTATTGCAACATAAGCCCAGTACAACTTGTGATACCAAGCAGAGATAAAGAAAAGCCTCCATTCATTTCCCTGCAGCAGCCCTTTGAGGGCTCTCTGTTCTGCTGTCCAGCTCCCAGGTAATGCTCAGCAGCAGGGAAGCTCAGGGCTGGCTGTGCATTCAGAATGGGCTCTTGGGTGGTGTTAACCTCAGTCCTCTTGAACTGCACTCAGTGGTGGTGATGAGCTGGTCAGAAAATGTAAATAGCAACTAAACCAGTTAAAAGCAGGAGCATCATTCCTTTCTCCTGTTTTATCACACTCTTAACTGCTCAAAACAGCTGAGCATGAGGCCTGGATTCAGCAAGTGCTTTCTACCCTGTTACAAACATGGTAGAAATTTCAGACTGCTTTAAAGGGGTACCTCATTTTTGAGTTTAAATTACCCCCTGCCAGGCTGGCTCAGCACTGAAGAAACAGCTATTTCTTTCCAGGTGGCTATTTCCCCAGGAAAAGGGGAGTTCTTTTCACTGTTAAAACTCTGGAGTCATGTTTTAAGATAAAATTAATGAGAAATGAAGCTTCTTTAAAATCTACAGGTTCTGACTGTGGGTATGAGGTTCCCACATGTAATTTTCCAGCTGGGAAGCAGCAGAAGAGCTCACCCCTAACAGGCAGGGCTTTTCTGGATGGCAGGAAACTTAAAACATGAAATGGGGTATGGTTTGAAGGCAGTGGAGGAAGAAATGTCAGAAGGGATGATTTCTGGCTGTCTGGCTCCTCCTGTGGGACAGCTGCAGCCTGGTGCCTGTGGAGGGGAGGGTTAAGAGCACCCATGGACAGCTGGTTTCTGGCAGAGTGGTGGCCAGGTTAGTCCTGTTCAGGAGATAAGTGCCCTAACAGTGTCCCAGGATGTGTTGGCTTGGAGAGGAAATGGGAACTGAAATCCTTTGGGACAGCAGAAGGACTTGAGGAGCTGGAGCAAGACACAAGGGTTTGCTGTTGGTTGGCCTGTCCTGCCATGCATTAACAGGCAGAGAAGCCTGTGTGTTATGTGCAAAGAAAGTTGTCATAACAGCCATGTTGGAGCATCCAAAAATCTGGGACCCTAAATATCTGCAGATTACTTTGGTAAAAGGAAAAACTAACAGAAAAGCAAATGGATTCTTAGAGGGAGAGAACCTCCATTTGCCTTCTGTATCTTAATGAAAATACAAAATTTGTTTATAAATGTACCGATGGTTGTTGAGGGGTTTCTGCCATTTCCTCTAGTAATGACTTTGTGTAGCTGCTGAGGGCTGTGTGTGTGTGACGCCAAGCAGTACCAGTGTGGCACAAGTCAAGAAGAGTGAAAATGCTTCCTGCTCCCCTTCTGCTCCAAGGTGATCCCAGCCAGGAGCAGGAGGGAGGTCCCCAGGTCTCTGGCACGCAGCTTCCCCTTGGCACAGGCTGGGGAAGCAGGAAATCTCCTAGCCAGGGAGGGCAGCCAAGAGCTTAGAGAGGTGCCCAGTGGCAGCTGGTGGGAGCAGGGGCAGACTGCCCTGCTGCAGCATCCCTGCAGGGGCAGCACGAGGAGGGTCAGCCACCCCACGGCAAGGAGGGGCTTATGCAAGGGGGAGGATTGAGCAGGAGGCCTTCAGGTGCAGTCTCCACCCCATTTCGGTGGTGTTACCCACAGCTTTCCCTCATCCTGCTCTCTTTCTGCATCACTGCTGTCCCCATTCTCTTGACCAACCTTTTTTTTTTTTGTAAACTTTCCTTGTTTTCTCCAGCCTGGTTTTCCTTCCTTTCCTTTTCCTGATATCTAGTCTTGCATAAAGACTCCTTCACCTCCTGTCTCTTCCTCTCTACTCATTTTGAACTGACTTTCCTCAGGGGGAAGGCAAAGCTCTGTGTCTCCAGGGACAGAGAGCAGTGGAGCCTGGGACCTGTGTTCTGCTCACCCTCAGCTGCTGCTGATGGCACTTCCACCACCTTTCTCTCTCGTCTCCTTTCCGTGTGAGCTTCTGCCAAGAATGCAAAGTCTGTTGGAAGGCTTTGTTTGGGGAATGACCACATTTCTAGTGTTGAATTTCCCATTTCTCCCCTCGAGTAACTGCAGAGCTCAGTCTAGCTCAGGTGGGTTTTGCAGTTTGTGATGCTTTTCATTGGCTACTAGATCGGATGGCAACTTGGTGCTTTTCCAAACTGGAATGTTATTTAGAGTCCAAATATGAGATTGAGAGCCATATGGAAACCTGTTAAGACTTCATTGCTAATCAATACTAGGAAGATGAGCAACAAGAGTATTTTCACTCACATTTTAACATGTTTGTTGTCCAGAGTTAACTTGGGCACCCAGAGGGCATTTTTGCTGTAAACTTTCCATCTCTGATGCAGATCTGTTTGAGAAAACTGATTTGGAAAGCAGGTAAACAGAGACCCCACAGAAATGTAAGCAGTTAAACCAAGCCAAGGCTAAGAATGCTAACAGAGCCTAAAGGTCAGGCAGGAAACGCATTTCACACCAAAATGACAGAAAGAAGGTGTTGATTTTGTTGATTATTTTTAAATAGAAAATTGTGTTGGGCAGAGCCTGGTGTCATGGCAACTCTTGGCCTATGTGTGACAGTTTTTTCAGCACCTTTTCTGTTACATGTTTGGTCTGCCATTTCAGTGTTCCTTGCCTTTCCTCCTGTGGCTGCAGCCTGGGCAGGCCTGGGGAAGGAGCTTGGGTGGGAGCACAGCCATACCCCAGCAGCATTTTCCATGTCTGCATAAACCCCCTGGGTGTGGCCAGCCCCACACTGCCCCATGCACTTTCCTAACCTCCACTTTGCTCCCTAATTGACTGACTTTGGTGAAGAGATGGAGCTAACAGCAGCATTTCTGCTTCCAACACCGTGCTGGGGAGGTCAGGACTCAGGAGCTGTAAGTGATGCTGCCCTCCAGGCAGCCAGGATTGCAGCTAAATATATCCCCTGCCATTCCCAGCTGAGGAGTGAGAGTGCTGCCTGGGCTCACAGGGGGCTGGGGCTTGGCTGTGCTGCCTAAAGCTAGCACAGAAAATATATATCACAGGTGTTAGTAATTAATCCATGTAAGAGCTAAATCTCAAGTTACCCAGCTTGTTCCCCTCTCCATCACTTTGAAGGTTTTCTGGGTAAAATGCCAAGGTCCATCTAACAGGACTTGCAGACTCGAGTAAAAATCTGAGTTTTAACTACCTAGAAATAGCCCCTTTCTAGGTTATTTCTTCTGCTTTTAACTTGTATGGCTCTCAGTGCCATTTGTTTCGCAAATTCAGAGCTGCGTTCCTGTGTGACTTTTTCATGCCGTCACATTTCACACGGCCTTAGCAAGGCACAGAG